AGACAGCATCTCCTGAGAAGTGATATCAGGGGCTGCACAGTGCTGGGGAAATGGACTTCAATGAACCTAGAGATAAAGAGGGACAGTTTTAATGATAAAAGGGACAATTTATCAGGAAGACATAATTATATCCTTACCGAACAACAGAGCCCCAGAAAGCAGAATGTAACAGAAGTGAAGAGAGAAATAGACAATTTGACAATAGTTGGATATGTTGATAATCCACTTTCAGTAATGGATAGAGCATCTAGGCAGAAGATCAACAAAGATGGAAGACTAGGACATACTGTGAATCAACTAGACCTAACAGGATGTTTTTATAGAACATTCTACCCAAAAAGAACAAAATACTCATTCTTCTCAACTGCACATGGAACATTCTCCGGGAAAGACTTTATACTGGGCCATAAAAAAAATAAAGGAGTGTAATCATATAAAATATGTGTTCTTATTACAAAGGAATGATATTAGAAATTACAGAGGAAATATGAGGAATTCACCAACATGTGGAAATGAAATAACACTTCCAAATAATTAGATCAAAGAAGAAATCATAAAGGAAATTAGAAAATATTTTGAGGGATCCCTGGGTGGCGCAGCGGTTTAGCGCCTGCCTTTGGCCCAGGGCGTGATCCTGGAGACCCGGGATCGAATCCCACGTCGGGCTCCCGGTGCATGGAGCCTGCTTCTCCCTCTGCCTGTGTCTCTGCCTCTCTCTCTCACTGTGTGCCTATCATAAATAAATAAAATTAAAAAAAAAGATTAAAAAAAAAAGAAAATATTTTGAGATGAATTAAAACAAAGCCAAAATATACCAAAACTTATGTAGCCAACAGCACCTATACCAGAACTTATAAAATGTGTGTATTTTAAAAGCGCTCAGTTCAATTCAATACCCTCTCTTCCTTTAAAAGACCAGAAGAGTATAATAAATCTAAAGCAGAAAGGAGATAATAGTGATAAGAGCAAAAATAAATGAAATAATATAGAAAAATAGAGAAATCAACAAAATCAAAAGTTGGCTCTTTGAAAGAATCCAACAAAATTGGTAAATATTTTATGTAGGGCTAATCAAGAGAAAGACTCAAATTTATTAAATCACAAGGCAGCCCGGGTGGCTCAGCGGTTTAGCGCCACCTTCTGCCCAGGGTACGATCCTGGAGACCTGGGATTGAGTCCCGCATCAGGCTCCCTGCATGGAGCCTGCTTCTTCGTCTGCCTGTGTCTCTGCCTCTCTCTTCCTGTGTCTATCGTGAATAAATAAAATATTTTTTAAAAACTTACTAAATCGCAAATGATATAGGAAGTTTACGACTGATCTTACAGAAATAAAAAGAGTTTAAGGGAAATACTGTGAGCAATATATATATTAGCAGATTAGACAATTTAGATGAAATGAGCAAATGCCTAGAAAGACACACACTACTGAAATTGATATAAGGAGGAAAAGATCTAAACTGAACTATGTTGTGGATTGAAATATCTCCCCCACCCCCAAAAAAGATATATTGAAGTTCTAATTCCTGGTACTTATGAACATGAAGTAATATTGGAAATAGGGTCTTCACAAATTAATCAAGTTAATTAAAGTTACACTGGACTAGAGTGGGTCCTAAATCCAATGACTGGTATCTTTATAAGAAGAGAGAGCTGGAGACTGAGACACACAAGGAAGAAAGCCATGTAAAGATGAAAGGACAAATTGGAGTTATGCTGTCACAGTCAAGAAATGCCAAAGATTGTTGGAAACCAACAGAAGCTAGGAGAAAGCAGAGAAGGATTCTTTCATAGAGCTTCAGAAGGAGCATGGCTCTGTTGACACGTTGATTGCAGATTTCTAGATTCCAGAATTATGAGAGAATAAATTTCTGCTGTTTTAAGCCACTCCGTTTGTGATAATACATTACGATAGCCCTAGGAAAAAATTCTCAACAAAATATTAGCAAACCAAATCAAGCAAAGTATGAAAACTGTTAACATACCCTTACCATGAGATTTATCTCAAGAATGCAAGCTTGGTTTTACATCACAAAATCAATTAATGTAATACAGTGCGTTAGTGGAATAAGTGATAGGAAGGAACCACATGATCCACAATGGATGTCCTCCAAAAAAAAATGTTTGACCAAATCCAACACTTTTTCATGATAAAAACACACAACTGGGATGCCTGGGTGGCTCAGCATTTGAGCATCTGCCTTTGGCTCAGGGCTTGATCCTGGAGTCCTGGGATCAAGTCCCATATTGAGCTTCCTGCATGGAGCCTGCTTCTCTCTCTGCCCCCCCCCCCCATAAATAAATAAAATCTAAAAGACAAAACAAAAAAACACCCAACAGACTAGAAATAGAAGAGAAATTCCTCAGCCTGACTTACAAAAGTACATAGCTATGGTGGAAAACTGAACATTTCCGCTCCTGAAATTAGGAACAAGACAGGGTTATCCATTCTCACTACTTTTATGCAGTGTTGTACTTGAGGCTCTAACCTTGGCAGTTAGGCAGTAAAAAAGAAACCAAAGTTATCCAGATTACAAAAGAAATAAAAATGTCTATTTGTAGATGCCATGTTGTATATGGAAAATCCTAAGGAATCTGCAGAACACTATTAGAGTTAATAAGTTCAGCAAGGTTATAGACTACAGCATTTTTAAAAAATGGTTGTATTTTTGTACAAATAGCAGTGAACAATCTGAGGATGAAAATTAAGAAAACAGTTCCATTTACTAGTTCCAAAAGAATAAAATATTTAGGAATAATTTTAACGTTTTTAAGACGTGTACACTGTAAATTTTAAAAATTGTTGAAATACGGGACACCTGGGTGGCTAAGTGGTAAGTAGTTGAGCATTCTGCCTTCGGCTAAGGGCGTGATCCCAGAGTCCCAGGATCGATCCCACATCGGGCTTCCTGCATGGAGCCTGCTTCTCTGCCTGTGTCTCTGCCTCTCTCTGTGTGTGTGTCTCTCATGAATAAATAAGTGAAATCTTTAAAAAAAAAAAAAAGCAAAAATTTGTTGAAATAAAGAAGATCTGAATAAATAGAAAAATATCTCATGTTAATGGATTGGTACATTTAATATTATAAAGATGGCATTGCTTCCCAAAATGGCCTTCAGATTCAGTGCATTTTCTGTTAAGACTTCTTTAGGCTTCTTTGCAGAAATTGAAAAACCGATCTTAAAATTCATATGAAAATTCAAGGGATGCATGAATAGCCAAACAGTCTAATAAGAGAGGACTCACACTTCCCAATTTCAAAACTTACTACAGAAATACAGTGAGCAACGTATTGTGTTACTGGCTTACAGGTGGGATATGTAGATCAGTAGAATAGAATTGGGTGTCCAGAAGTAAAATTTATGGCTAGTGATTCTTTTTTTTTTAATTAATTAATTTATTTATTTATGATAGTCACACACACACACACACAGAGAGAGAGGCAGAGACATAGGCAGAGGGAGAAGCAGGCTCCATGCACCAGGAGCCCGATGTGGGATTCGATCCCGGGTCTCCAGGATCGCGCCCTGGGCCAAAGGCAGGCGCTAAATCGCTGCGCCACCCAGGGATCCCCCTGGCTAGTGATTCTTGACAAAGGAAGTTGGACTCCTTCCTTACACCATACACAAAGGTGTACTTGAAATGTATCATATAACTAAAAGTAAGTTCTAAAATTTAAAACATTTAGAAGAAAACATAGGAGTAAATCTTCATGAGCTTGGGTTAGCTACTAGTTTTTTAGATATAATACCAAAAGCACAAATGACCCCCCCCCCAAAAAAAAGATGAATTGAAATTCATTACAATTAAAAACTTTTATACTGCTAACAGAAGTAGCATCAATGAAGTGATAAGAAAGTTCACTGATGGGAGCAAATATTTGCAAATCTTAGATCTGATAATGGACTTGTATCCAGAATACATCAAGAATTCTTACAACTCATCATTAAAAAGGTAGATAGCCCAATTAAAAATTGGGCAAAGCATATGAATAGACATTCTCCAAAGAATGTATTTAAATGACGAGTGAGATGTTCAACATCATTAGTCATTGGGGAAATACAAATCTGAACCATGAGGCACCACTTCTTGTGTATTAGAATGGATATGATAAAAAAGATACAAGTGTTCATGAGTATGTGGAACCCTCATTGCTGTTGAGAATATAAAATGGTACACCTGCTTTGGAAGATGGTTTAGTACTTCCTCAGAATGGTAAACAATTAACACATGATCCAGAAATTCTGCTCCTAAGTATATATCCAAGAGAAATGAAAATATACATCCACACAAAAACTTGCACACGAATATTAAAGGCAGCATTATTTGTATCATAGTAACCCAAAAGTAGAAAACCAAATGGTTATCAACTGATGATTGGATAAAATGTGCTATATCCATATAATGGAGTATTATTTGGCACTAAAAAGGAAGGAAGTACTGATGCATGCTACAATGTGGTGAACCTTGAAAACTATTCCAGGAGGAAGTAGTCTCACACACAAACACACACATGAATATTGCACAGTTCCATTTGTATGAACTATCCAGAATAAGCAAGTCCGTAGATACAAAAAGTAATAAAATGGTTGCCTAGGTTTGGGGCAAATGGGAGAATGGGGAGTGACTGGTAGTGGGTACAGTTTACTTTTGGTGTACAGAAAGGTTTTAAAATGTATCATGGTGAGTGGTGAACTCCTCCCCCCCCCCAAAAAAAAAGAATTTTATACTTTAAGTGGGTGAATTGTATAGTATGTGTATTATATCTCAATAAAACTGTTTAAAAACAAAACAAACAGGTACAACTATAATTAATATGAGCCAACTGAAAGTTATCTGTATGTTTTAGAGTCCAGATTGATAGCATTGGTTAGAATTGTTTAATTCAAGAAAAAACAGGTAGCACCTTCCTGAGTGCTGTTTTAGTTGCTATGAGTTGATTTATGATTTAGATAAGGAAGTAGCCTGAATGCAGCATGAAACAGGGTTGAAATACAGATATTCTGTGTTTGCTTCAGCAGCACATGTACTAAAATTGGAACAATACAGAAAAGATTAGCATGGCCCCTGCACAAGGATGACATAAATTTGTGAAGTCTTCCATATTTTTGTGATGAGCCCTGGGTGTTGTATTTAAGTGTTGAATCACTAAATTCTACAGCTGAAACTAGTATTGCGCTGGATATTGACCAGCAGGAATTTAAGTAAGAACTTGGAAAGAAAAAAAAGATACATGTATTTATAAACATACATGTAGAATCAAATGGGAAAAGCTGTATGCTTAACTCACTGAAACTACACTGTGTACAATGCATTCTGCAAATAACATCGTCTCTCACTAAGATATAAGCATTCCTAAACATGAAAAATAGAGATATTTTGCTCAAAGTCTGACTGAACTGACTGAATGTAGGAGTAAACAGTACAGTTCATGCCATTTAATAATGTCGAATTTTAAAAATCAACATGGCATTAAAATGAAATGGCATTAAAAGTATAATACAGTTGAGGATTTTATTGGACTCTAGTTAATACTTATTCCTAATACCTTTTAAACGTTAAGTCTATTAGAATTACATTATTTTTTTATTCATTTAAAAAAGATAGTTAATAATTTCTGTAGGCCACAAGAGAGAATGTTGGCGAATACAACTATAATAAAGATTTTCGTAATGATTTATCACAATATTTTCTTTATGTGGCAGACTTAATATGTGTAATATGGAAATTTATGGGCTGATTGTTTTAGTTTGATTATGCAAGAGAGTTCTTCCTTTAAACTATTTATTTATAATATGTAATTGATGCTAAATGTGTCTTTGCAAAATACTATTTTGGTTGTGCTGTCAACACAGTTTGGATGATGGGGAAATTATAAAAAGCTGGTTGCAAATATTTGAAATCTTTAAGGAAATTGTGGACTATAACATTCCTTCAGTGTCTTTATTATTTCCTTTTCATGGTTATCAAGTATGTCCCCATTTTCTTATTTAGAGTACTTTAAAGTTTCCCATGACATAAGGAAATGCACATGATGATACATTGCAGTGATTTGAAGTAAACTATATGCACTGGAACATAAAGAACATTTAAAACATGTACTTTGATTTTCTTTATACTTTTATTTTTTATTATCATAATTTTCTGTTATTAGCTACCTGATTTGGAAGTAAGTGCAAAGCATTATTAACCTAGTGTGCTGCTCCTGCTGTCTGAGAACAGATTCTGGGAGTCTTTAGGATGAGTCTAGGCATCATTTTGAAACTTCCTGATCAGGACTTAAATTTCTATATTGTAAACATTTTTAACTGTACTTAGAAATATTTACCTTTAGAATATGCAATACATGGTTTTAAAATTCTTTTTTTCTAGAGCCAGTTTTAACCTATTAATTTCACAACTCTAAACATTTGAAAGCTATAGCTTATGAAATAGTATTCTAGGGACAGAATTATGAATTCAGGTAACATTCTTTTTGAGTTTTCCCTTCTTATGGCCCTTTTAAAAAATGTTCATCTGTGTCTGGAAAAAACATCTTGAGGTAGGAGTGCAAACATGATTCTCAAATAATATTTAGGGTTTATATCTTTTTGTCTAAGTTGAATTGCCTGTGAACTATTGCTATATAGTATAATAAGAACCAATATACTTGAATGCTCAGGAATATTTTTTCTTTTGTAGTGTTAGTTTAATTAGGATTTGTCTGCAAATTTTAAACATAATTCATAAGATAAATAAAAACCGCCCAAAGTATATTTTTACATTCACTTTGCTTTTATACTTTTGTGGAGATAAAATTTTATTCTGATTTGAAGTTTTAAAATACTTTAATTGTATTAAACTGATTTGTCTTATTTGTTACTAATATTTGTCTTTGATTTTGCATCTGTACTATTGATAATGAATGGGGAAGGATTTTTGTGCAAATATTTCACCAAATATTTTTACAGGGACACTTAGTCGGTCTGGATGAACCAGCTTCGGGAGCTGGGCAAGAAGCTCTGCTTAAACAAGAGCAAGCAAAAATCATTCGATTCGAGAGACAAGCAGAAGAGTTCCTCAATGCAGTCTTTTATAGAAAAGGTTGGTTCTAGTGAAGAATGGCATTTAGCATCTGCTTGTCTTATACTGATTTCCTTAATTTTAATGTCATTTTTAAAAAGTTATTTTAAAATATTTTTCTTTATTGATAATATACTTTATATTCCTTTGGTCAAGTTAAATTTGGAATAGGGTAAGACAAACCTCTCCCTCCTTTTCATTCTGAAGTTATGGTGAAATGTAACTTTATTAAATAGTTCCTGAAAGTATTATGAACATCTGAAAATTCTAAGGTATCAGCAGTATGGTATTTTCTCAGACAAATATTCTTACATAAGTAGTTGCGGTTTTAATTACAGATAACCATAAAACCAACTGTATAAAATTTTAGAAATTTTTCCCTGAAATTCATTTGGAAAATAGATGAAGGTTATATCTTAAAATTAGATTTGCAAGCATTTTTTTCTTTGACTGTTTTTCAAGATTATTTGATATAATCTTTCTTCACTAAAATTTCATTAAATTATTAAAATTGGAGAAAGAAATTCATTTATATAATAAAACTTACCCATATATTGGGTATTTAATAGCTCCACCTCTTATATTTTTCAACTTATCTTTCTCCTTGAAACTAGTGTAAACATGTTTTGCATTTCTTTTCTCTGTTCATAAAGGCTAATTTCAGTTGCCGGCAACCAAGACCTTCAGAAAGCTTCCCTCCAAGATTCATTCTAGTGAAGTCTTTACCTTTAAGAAATTCTTTCTGAATGGATTTGTATTCCATGGTTATGTCTTCCCTCTAGTTCCAAGACAGAGGTTCTAAAAATGTTTCCTACAAATGCCTCATAATCCTGAATATTTCTTATTTAATCTTCAGAAGACTCAGTGATTCTGCTTTCTTAAATATTTCTTTATATGTCTGGTTTACACCTCTCATTCTTTTAGGATTTCCCTCCTTCCCTCCAAAGTCTGAAGGGTGATTTTTGCCTGTACACTGGTTGAAAGTCTGATAAGTGCATTCTAATTGGTTGGTTACAGTTGGAGACCAGCTGATGTTCTGCTTAATGTGGTCAGTATTTTCAAAATGGAGTATGAAGTTAAGCACTAGATAAAGAGTGAAGATTATTGTTTTCAGTGGCACTTTTTTTCCTTCCATCAGATCTCCATGCAAAATTAAATCTTTTAGTACATCCTCACTTCTCTTTTAATACCCTCTAGCATCTCTGACCTAAAGCTCCCAACTAAGCTCCCATGTTTACTTCATCTTCTCCTGAAGGTACTCTGAATTCTAAAATTATGTTAGAATAATAATTGACTGTGTTAGTTTTATAAACATTTGATTGTTTTATTAAAATAATTCACATTTAAAGTATAAATGATCAGTTCTGTCAGTTTGTTAAAAAAATAAAACCTCTTTACAGCCCCTCTGCTATTCCTCTCCTTTAGGATGTGTACTGAGTCATGAGGTCTAATGCTGCCGCACACCTCATGGTCTAAAAAGAGAAACTCTTCTCCCTAATATACATGGAGAAATCACTTGTCATCTACTCTTTGCTTACAGGGAGTTAACAAAGTCAATCATAAGCATATTCCTAAAGAGAATTCTAGCCGCCTTCTCTGCTAATCCTGTCCCTTTGTCATGTAGGAACAACTTAAGTTCCTACCAGTTTTCTTAAACATTAAACTTTTTGGCACATGAGGGAATTTTAATCTTGAAATTATTCTTAGGGTAGACTTCAAGAGATGAGAATCCTTTTTGAGTTTTTGTATATTTGTATACTAGCATATGATGTTCACAAAAAGAACTATTGCTTTGGTATTGGAAGTTCTTTCCTCCTTGTTTTATGTATTAATATTTGTTATTTTTAGATATATTAATCTTCATGAAAATGTCTTAGAGAAGAGATTAGTGCTCTTCAGGTTATATCAAAAATGTCATGCCAGAGATATGACAGGCGGTTTAGTCTGAAGGGGATTTTTTTTTCAAATAGTTTAGAAATTGGATTTAGTTCTTTGTTTCTAAGTATTGGATTTAGTTCTTTGTTTCTAAGTATTACAAATTATATATGTTTTGTTATAGAGAGAGGGTGGAGGGGGCAGAGGGAGAGAGAGATTCTTAAGCAGTCTTCATGCCCTTAAGATTAGTGAGATCAAGAGCTAAAAGTAAGAGTCGGGCACTTAACTGACAGAGCCACCCAGGAGCCCCGCAAATTGTGTGTTTTAAATAATTGCATATGGAAAGGTTCTATAAGCTAAGTAGGAACATAGTTGCAATAAAAGGCTTTGTGGTATGGACTCTATAATGAATTTCAGCTTAGGAACAGTATACCTTCTACAACTGTCATTATTATACTTTTTAAGCTTGACTTTTCACTTGTGTTAGAAGATTTGACGCTTTTCTGAAAGTTAGATTTGCATATTTATTTTATTTTATTAAGATTTTATTTTATTTGAAAGAGAATGCATGAGAGTGGGGAGGGTGGGTGGGGAAGGGGGCCCTGGGAGAGGGAAAAGGAGGAGAGAATCCCAAGCAGACTCAACGCTGAGCATGGAGCCTCACACAAGGCTCAATCCCATGACCCTGAGATCACAGCCTGAGCTGAAACCGAGTCAGATAATCAGATGATTGAGGCACCCAGGAGCCCCAGATTTGCATTTTTAAAACACCCAAGTGGCTGGTGATGTACCATTTACATGTTTTCCTGTAGTTTTAATTTTGATTGGATTTTTTGTTTTTATTTGACTCTATTGTGAATGTTCCCCAAGGCATGGTTTATAGAAGTTATGTTTTAAGTACGTGAAAGAATGAAATGTGTTCAGGAAACCTTTCAAAAGATGCAGAAATTTAAAAGGCACAGATGTCATTAATATATGAATGAATATGAATTGTTTTATGATTATGTTCTTTATTCAAAAAAGAGGCAAGATAGACTGCAGGCATCTAAAGCTCAGAGGTAGCAATTTATAGTCTTTATCCTAAAATCTCTGGCTCTTCACAAATCCCTTTAATTATATTTAGGAATCTAATTAAACACAGGGATCTCATAAATTCATTTCACTTCCTGTTTGGAAACTTGTATCTTTATGTGTTGCTGTGGATAAGAAGATACACTGATACATTAAAACTTGAAATTATATAGTCTCTCATTTGGAGGATGGATCTTAAGTGGAAAGTTAAATGAATATTAATAAGAATATTCAGTGGGTAGAGAGACTTAAAAAAAGCAGTGTGGCTGAAATGTTTATTAAACCATTTAAGGAACTTGTCAGTGATTGTAATAATTTCTGAACCTTACCTAATTAAACACCTTAATTCTTTAACCATCTAGCATACTCTTTATAGAGAAGAAATGTGAGGTTAGAAATACTTTTTAGTAGAACAGAAATATAACAAATCGATAGAGCAAAACTTATTAAACTTTAAAGAATTAAATATTCTGACTTTAGACTATCTTCTAGTATTGAATGTTGTCTTTCAGGGAAAAAAATTATTCTTAGGGGTCCCATGAGGTGTTGTTGAGTGATGATGATGATGATGATGTGTGTGTGTTGTGGAGATTTTAGATTTTAATTGTAGTGACTCAGTTTTTCTCTAAATTTATAAATCAACCTAATTCCCTTCCAGTTCCAACTGTATTAAGGATAAAGTAATTTACCTTCTATAGTTAATCTTTAAAAAACCAAGGAAACTCAGGTTTCTGAGAACTGTCTTCTAAAACCTCTGAAGTATTGTGGGAAGTAAAGGTCACCGGTGAAACGTTAAGATCAGGTGGAGAGTTTTAATCAGGGATCTATACAGATTTGAAGAGGCCACTTATACTCTTTTTTTTTTTTAAGATTTTATTTATTTATTCATTAGAGACACAGAGAGAGAGAGGCAGAGACACAGGCAGAGGGAGAAGCAGGCTCCATGCAGGGAGCCCGATGTGGTTCTCCATCCCAGGACTCCAGGATCATGCTCCAGGCTGGAGGCAGGCACTAGACCACTGAGCCACCCAGGTGTCCCGAGGCCACTTATTCTTTAGATACATTAAGCTCATTTGTCTAAAGAAAAACAACTATTTGAAGATGATTAATTGATTTAACTGACCCATTTATTAGTCAACTAATATGAATGAATACTTTATACCAAGCAAGATTAGGTGCTGAGTGTACAGAGGTAAACGAACATAATCTCTGCTCTTGAGAAACTTAGTCTCCCAGAGAGTATGGTAATAGTAGAGATGTGATGATATATTTATACCAAACATTTTCCCCATTTGACCTTCAAGATCCCTTCCAGTGCTGAAAGTTCTATGAGTTAATGAATTCATATGTTTTAAAATTAACAATGATTCAAAATTGATAACTTAGGTGTTCATTACTTCCCTAGCTGTTTAATGATTGGTAGAGTGTATTTAAAGAACTCATGGAAAATACATGGACTTAAGCTTTTGATTTTTGGCATTTAAACTCCTAGCCTAGGGGTTCTAAAATTGTGGTGCCTGGTCCAGTTCCATCTAGGAACTTAATAGAAATGATAGTCCTTGAACTCACCCTAAAACTGCTGAATGAGTGACTCTGGATTTGGGACACAGCAATCTGTTTTTACAAGCCCTCAAAGTAATTCTAATGAGCCTGAAAATGGGAGGCTATTGCCTCAGTCTATCATGGATCTTATATTAAATATCTTTTATAATTTTGATATGCTTTCAGCCTTTAACAGAAGGTAAATTAAGCACTCATGAACTAAGTAATCCATCCTTCAACAATTTAGGAAGAGATACATGAGGAAAGGTCTAGGAGAAACCAGATATGATCTATAAGTGGTAAACAGGGGAGTAATTATTTCATAAAAAGGCTTTTATGTATTCTGTATCAGGTAAGTGATTCTTGCCCATAAGATATACTATTTGTTATCCCTTTATTTAATTCCATAATATTGAGAGGGGTGGTATTTATAAATGATTTTATGAAAATTTTATTTTTAAAAACTTCAACTCAGGCTTAGAGATTAAAAATGTAATTCTGAGATGGAATACTACTTTTAGGATATTGCATTGTAAGGAAAAAAATAAAATGAAATTTTATGTTTGCTTGAAAGCTGTCTTTTTTTTTTTCTTTTTTTTAGTACATTGTCCCAATTTAAAAGTAAATAAATCTTTGTTTACAGACAGTCCCTGGGTCTCCGACCCCAATATTCCCCTAGTGGCCCGTGAGATCATGCAGCGAATGATCCAACAATTTGCTGCTGAATATACCTCAAAAAATAGCTCTACTCAGGACCCCAGCCAGCCCAATAGCACAAAGAACCAAAGCCTGCCGAAAGCATCTCCAGTCACCACCTCTCCCACGGCTGCAACTACTCAGAACCCTGTGCTCAGCAAACTTCTCATGGCTGACCAAGACTCACCTCTGGACCTTACTGTCAGAAAGTCTCAGTCAGAACCTAGCGAACAAGGTATGGTTTGATGTTAAGGTCTCCTCTGTCCAATCAGAATACTTTAATTTGGAGAAAAAAAATTATTGGCAAATAGGGCACCAGTTACAATAATAGGATAAAGACTAATATGATTCTTAAATTATTCCTGACTCTGCAGTGATAGAGAAGTACAGATGAAATGGCTACCTTATGTATCAATAGTTCATAGTCACCATTAGATTAATTTACCACCCAGGAAAGTTAGGTGGTTACAGTTGTTACTGATCTTTAAGTTACTTGATATTCATATAAGTATTTTATACTTTACAAAGCTTTGCTATATCCATTGTTTTTAAAACCCCTTTGAAAAAGCTTTCCCCCTATCCATCAGTGTTCCAGGATTAGCACCTGAGAAATAAAAATGTCTTGTTAGAAGTTATACTCTACAAATGAAATTATAAGTCAAGAAAGGGTTTGTATTGTTTGTATCTTTAAAAAAGAAACTCCTAGGATTAGATACAATGAGGAAGACATTAGACACAATTGGTGGTTCAGTATATTCAGTATTTTATTAATACACACATGTATGTGCTGTATTATAAACTAACCTTAGAATAGCTTCAAAAGGTAATTTTAATTTGTTGGTGAGGATCCTCATTAAGGGAAAATGTTAGGAGGTTGTTAGTTATGCTTAGCACATATTTCTTGAATTTATGAAGAGTTGACTCAGATTAAATATTTTTGTTGCTTTGTGATCTCATTTTACCTTTAATTTCACAAAGATGAAGTGAGCATTCAATCCTGCCATTGTTTGACCCAATACAGATTGTAAATTGGAGATGTTTATTCTACTGAGAGTTCCTTGTCATAGAGAGCTCATAAGAGGAGCAGAAAGCTGTGAAATGTGTAGATTTATTGGTGAGAAATACATGTTCATTTTGCAAAAAGTTAAATTCGTAAAAGAACCTCTTTCAAAGGACTTTCTTTTGCTTATTTTAACTAATTTAAGAGGGATTTACAGTTAGACTGGCTTTTAGTTTATTAAAAATGTAGTTTTGAATAGTAATTCTTGCTTTTTTCCTGTTTCTGGTAATGAATAGTCTCAATCTCAGAATTCTGAGAGGTTTCCTAACATATGCTCACATTGATCAGTGTACTTTTACTTTTGGTTACCCAAAACAAAATTGTGCTTTTCTGTGCTTTTTCTTTTTATTGAGGATTATCTCTACCAAAGATTGGTATCTTTCCTTAATCTCTTTGCTCTAAATACTGTATTAAAAACTTCAGGTTTGCAGTAGGAGAATGACAGCATAGAGGTTGTTTTTAAAGTATTAATAATGGAGATTAGTCTATAAAGATACCACCTAGTCTAATCTAACTTCTAGTTGGTGCTGTGCTTACGAAATATGTTGTACTGATGGTATGTATGTTTTTGTTAAGAGAACTTTGAGCTAGATGATGGGATTATAGTGTATAGGCTTTAAGTGAAACAATTTTTAAAATGATATTTCCCAAATGAATTTTCAGGTATTTTCAATGAATCACTGTATATTTAGTATATTTAAGTAGACTTAAAATATATTGCCTGTTTGATTAGACAGACTTGGAATCTTTAAATAATAGTGTCTCTGGTTGGAAATATTTTAAGCAGTGTATTTGCTTGTTAGATATCTAATTGGGTTAAGATGTCTAATAGGACACTTGGTTCTATATAATTACAGTTATATTTTTAGAAATATTAGTGACTCAAGGACAACACTTATTCTGTATGAGTGTGGGATTTTCATTTATAAACTCAATCACACATTTATTTCTAACAGCCTGAAATCAGGAGTGACAATGTCTTCAGGGACAAGTCCACAAGTCCTATGTAGGTTCTAGATTGGGGATAACTAGATAGAAAAATCCTCTCTGTTGACCAACTGAAAACCAGAGGCATTGCGTATCAGCTTGCTCTGTTAAGTTTGAACAGAATGACAGCTTTAAAAGTTGTCCAGATGATCAGTTCGCATTTCTAGATATGTCTATGAGGGGAAAAAAGTCTGTGGGAAAAGAAGGTCTTCTAATTTTGTGTTCTAATAGAACGAATTTGTTATTTGGTCCAGCTTCAGTAAAAAGAAAGAAAGAAAGAGAGAGAGAGAGAGAGAGAGAGAAAGAGAAGAAAGAAAGAAAGACTAAACGTCTAGGCTGTCTTCAGTATCAAGACTGTTTCATTCTTCTTTCTTTCCTTAAACTTTGCTGACCAGTTTGTAATAGCTTATTAATTTTTAAAAATATTTATTTATTCATGAGAGACACAGAGATAGAGAGGCAGAGACACAGGCAGAGGGAGGAGCAGGCTTCCTATGGGGAGCCCGATGCAGGACTGGATCCTGGGACTGCGGGATCACGCCCTGAGCTGAAGGCAGACACTCAACCGCTGAGCCATCCAGGAGTCCCTATAATAGCTTAATTGAAAAACCCTGCCTTTATAGATACCATGAAGGGAATTTTGAAACTTTGCAGATTTTTTTCTAAAAGACTGAATCCAAATACACAGTTTTTTGCAGATGTGTCTGAGGAGTACTTAGAACATACGAAAATTATAAATAGCATCTGATTCATCTTACAGACTATCTTTTATATACATGTAATTTAACCCTATAAACATATTTAAAAATGATTTGTTATATAAATTTCCTAAATCCAACTTTTGTGTACTTTGAATGTTTCAGGTAGACTTAGCTCTTGAGGAATTTGGTTTTAAATTTGTATGATGCATTAAAAACTCACATGCTTTAATAAAGATAAATTTGGAAAATGGAGTCTGATAGTTCTATTGCAAAACTTCATACTGTGTAAACTGCAATTTCTAATATCTCACTATATCCTAACATCTTCAGTGATATGCCATACCTTTTCTTTTGCCCTATTAATAAAATATTTAACTCTTGGAGATAATAGCTATAACAAGCTTTGGTAAGTGTATATCACTTTAGGAAGGAAAATAATCCTGATTCTATTAACAAATTGACTTCATAACTCATATATGACTGGTGAATCTGCTTGGTTGATTAGGCCTATTGCTTTGTCATTTTTAGTCTATTCAGTTCACATTTGTTCCTAGTTTTTAATATCTTCAGGTGTTTGTGTCTCTACAGACGGTGTACTTGATCTCTCCACTAAGAAAAGTCCATGTGCTGGCAGCACTTCCCTGAGCCATTCTCCAGGTTGCTCCAGTACTCAAGGGAACGGGTAAGGGAAAATATTTGTAGCCTTCCACAGTTTTATAGAGACAGTTTATCAAAGATTGGCACAGTCTCCTTTATATGTTTTAAAAATTAAGTCTTCAGAGTAACAGTCTTAAAAAGTGGGCCTTTAGTAAATTACTTAGTCCATCACTCCAGTAAAAGCACAATCTGTGAACTCCATAATTGACTAGTGTAGATCAGTTTTGCCAGTTTAGTACATACAATGAATGAATGAAAATACGGCAAGAATGTCTTTGGACTTTTTGTTGTTGAGTGTTTGGGAGTGGGAAACCCAACCTAAATAATTCCAGAGTTCAGATGTAAAAGCAGTATTATGTGTGCTGAAGTTGTTGAATGAAAGTTGGGCTCCAGTACTTAACTTGGTATTTCTAATGGAGTGTGCTGGTATGTGGGGGCTGTTCATTTTTTTCTTGTTTGTTTTTGGTTTTGTTTCATTTGTTGATTGGAACTGCAGTTTTAACTCTGTGTGGCAGTTCAGAAAATGTAATTGTATATATTTTTTGTTTTTTAAGTGGTTAAGACTGTAGATGTTGGGATAACCATCTTATGCTACCAAGACATTATTACATGCTCAGTTTTGATAACTCTTAGCAGATTAAAGTGAATTTTCTGACCACCTAATTTTATAGTGTAAGAATTGTCTTAATTCTCCCTCTACATGTACATAGAAACCATTTAGAAAAAAGTCAGGTATCAATAAAGACATTTAAATACCGTATTTGGGAAGAATTTCCATAAAATTGTGTTGTAACCAAAAATCAGCTTCATATATGAAAAGTAACTTTGGTAAGTTAAATTAGTTAATATGTAGGTTTATTTAACTTTTAGAATACCAACAGAAGGAAGTTGTTTAGATGTTAAAGGAATAATAAGTACACACTAAATGGACTAACCTTTTTCAACTTTTAGTTTCCTTCAAATTGAAAGATTCCTTTACTGACTTCTAAAATGCTGCCTTTATTTTCTCTAAAATTCCATCATTTTCCTTTTTCTCTCCTTTATTCAGTCTAAAAGTAACATTGATTTAATGCAGTTTGCATAATTTACTAATCTTTTTCCTTAAGCCCTTTTTCACTATAGTTTATATTAGATACAAGTTATTGTGGTCCCAAGTCATTGGGTCCCATTTATATATCAGAAAACTTGAATTGTGTAATTTAAGGACACATGTAGGAGAAGCCTAAGTGTGGTTTGCATAAATGAGTCCCTTGCTTACGATTTCCTTTAAACTTGGCCACCAAGTCCATGTATAATATGGTTGAAGTTGCTGTGTTTATCCATCTGAATGGAAAGAGTTTTTTATGTGGTATCATTTTCTGGAAGACAAAAGCACCGACAAGCCTGCCCATCTTTTAGTTGAATATTATTTGTTATATTTATTATGTTTTTTACTGATAACAGCACAGAGTAGACTTTTGGAGAACATAGTTGGTTTATCATTATTTCTTCAGAGTTTCATTTTGTGCCTACTAAATGTAATTATTCCCCTGGCATGCTTTTCCCAGTTGCCAGTTTTATCTTTGATAATCTTTATTGTGAAAATGGAAACCTTACGAATTAGCTTTGTGTTAGTAGTTGACTTTTTAAACATTATTTGAAAGCTATCCACTTAAAATTTCAAAATTGACGTTTGATACTTTAAGAAGAAACACTTCTAACTAAAGAACTGCTACAAATTGTTTATATACCTCTGACAGTATTTTGAGTAGAACTTAAGAAACAAAGTTTGGGGAAAATAAAGGGCAGTTTCTTTAAAGATTGAATTATTAAAAATGGAAAATTAGTGGTACTCATGTGTCTGCACCTAATAGTTTTAAAATGAAGAAGTGGTAAGTTATAATGCGATGGGTGTTTTGGTTTGGGTTCCCACCCTTGGGGCTGGTAGCCATCTTTTTTTCCCAAGCAAAATAAGAAATGTTATTTGAACTTGTTTGGTTTTTGATAATGAACATCAGCTTGTTTGTGGGATAAATGAGCAATTATCTATGGGTTCCACCACTGTAAATGGTTCCAGTTTTATAGCTGGTTGTCATGAATGTTGAATATGTTGCATTAAAATAAATAATTTGGCTTACTCTTTTATTACTGTACTTGTTTAGTGGTAACGTCACATTGGTAACACAATTCTGTGTAGATCTATGGAGACTTGATGATTACTTTGTAATTAATAATTTAAGGTGCTATTTTCAGACAGTTGCGCGAAACTTTTTCTCCGAAAATTTGTGAACCCAACCAGAGACCAGCTGACAGGTTTAATTTTTCTTTGCCCAAAAAGCTACTGGTTTTTTTTTTTCTTTTTTCCTTTTTCTTTTTTTGTGAACAAGTTTTAAAACTAACTGCCGAGACCATTTTTTTTTTAATTTTAGAGAAAAATAAATAAATAACACAAAGTGATGTTACCCAAGCAAGGCCTTCTAATAAAGGAGTGGTCCCCTCACCCATCCCTCCCTACCTGTGCAAGTCCTGCTCACATCAGTTTCCTTCCATCCAATTAGGCGACCTGGGAGACCCAGCCAGTACCGCCCAGACGGACTTCGGAGTGGTGATGGGGTACCTCCAAGAAGCTTACAGGATGGAACCAGGGAAGGTTTTGGACACTCCACATCACTCAAAGTTCCATTGGCTCGATCCCTGCAGATTAGTGAAGAGCTACTGAGCAGAAACCAATTGTCCACAGCTGCCAGCCTTGGGCCATCTGGATTACAGAATCATGGACAACACTTAATATTATCCAGGGAAGCCTCTTGGGCAAAACCACATTATGAGTTCAACCTCAGCCGTATGAAGTTCAGGGGAAATGGTGCACTCAGCAACATCAGTGACCTTCCTTTTCTTGCAGAAAACTCTGCCTTTCCAAAAATGGCACTTCAAGCAAAACAAGATGGAAAAAAGGATGGGAGCCATGCATCTCCTGTAGATTTAAAGATACCACAAGTTCGAGGAATGGATCTTTCTTGGGAGTCTCGCACTGGTGATCAGTACAGCTATAGCTCTTTGGTAATGGGTTCACAAACGGAGAGCGCGCTTAGTAAAAAGTTAAGGGCTATTCTTCCAAAACAAAATAGAAAAAGCATGTTAGATGCTGGACCCGATTCTTGGGGCTCAGATGCTGAGCAGTCTACCTCTGGACAGCCATATCCCACATCGGATCAAGAAGGAGACCCTGGCTCCAAGCAGCCTCGGAAGAAAAGAGGGCGTTACAGACAGTACAACAGTGAGATACTGGAGGAAGCAATCTCAGTGGTTATGAGTGGAAAAATGAGTGTTTCCAAAGCTCAGAGTATTTATGGGATTCCCCACAGTACACTGGAGTACAAAGTAAAGGAGAGGCTGGGCACTTTGAAAAACCCTCCAAAGAAAAAGATGAAATTAATGAGGTCGGAGGGGCCAGATGTTTCTGTAAAGATTGAATTAGATCCCCAGGGAGAGGCAGCACAAAGTGCAAATGAATCAAAAAATGAGTAGGAATACTGTAGAGTGCCAATTACTGTACAAACTGGGTGAGCACTACTGCATTGTTCAGCTATCATTGCTTGCACCTGACTTCATTTACTGTGACACTTGTTTCTTTGCAGATTTTGCATTGACTTGTGTGTACAGAGGTGAAAGGTGCATTCTGAATGTTGCATATTTTAAAATTTTCATGTGCAGTATGGCTCGGGATATTGTTTGGCCTTTTTGCATGTTTCTCTACAAAAGAGAATTGAGTTACCTCACGGAGAACAGATACATGGAAGTGGACTCCTTGCCTGTAGAGCCTGCATGCTTTTCTTTTTTTCTTTCTTTCTTTTTTTCTTTTTTTTTCCCTCTTAAGTTATATTTGCCTTTATTTAAAGAAAAAAAAGATAAAAAAAAGCCCCCTTTTAGAAACCACCTCTGTCAAACTGGGAGCTTTATCATTACAAATTAGAAAGCCATCTTATAAAATCATTCATGTTTCTCTTCTGCATTTCAACTAATTGAAAGATTAAAGAAAAATATCCTAAGAACAATGAACCTTCGAATTTAAGAAATTTGGTTATTCACTGTAATTATTTAGGTCAATTTACATTTTATGATTTTGTTCTCACTATTAAATTTACTTAACAAATCAGCAATCTGTTTAGTGCTCACCCAGAGGGAAAGGAGGTGGAAAATGTGCACACACTACCTTCAGAAATGCTTCGGTTAATTCCTTTGTAACACTACCTTTGCTGTAATTTTCTTTGGGATTTTCTAAGGGTAGAATTTGGTCTCACCAACAAGTGAGGATATAGCCTTATCTCATGGAGGACGAGCTCCGTTCTTACTCAGGAGCAGTCAGGGTACATTACATAAAACAATAGAGGATGCCTCATTTTAACAGTTTCTTTGTATTCTTAAAACCTTTTACAGATTGATCATGTGCTAACTAACAACTGGATGTCATTGCAGCAAGTAGTTTAATATATTCAAGATCTGTTTATTGGGGAAAGGGAGAAGTAAGGAAAGTGTGTTTAAGTAATTACAATACTGCAAAAGTGGTATCTAGATTTTACAGCCTCAGTAGTCTGCCCAAATATCCACATGAATGAAGGATCCATGTTTGTGGTGAGAAAAAAAAAAAAAAACAACCAAGGCAACCTAATATGATTTAGGTTGCATTTCACATCTAATGATAATCCAATCAGCATCAAGCTCAGAATTTCTTTTTTAACTAATCCAGGTACTAGTACAAGGGGAGAGGGGTTGTTTTTTAGTTTTTATTTAATTTGTTGCTTTCAATTTTTCTTCTTCTTCTTCTCCTTCTCCTTCTCTGGCATCCTGCATTCTATCCCCTTTTTAACTTTTCCTGATATTTCGCTGATTTTCATGGTTGTTTAGCACACAATTCAGGACTTTTCAGATCATGTTTATATAAGCACTCCTTGAAGAGCATCTAAGCTTTTTTTGAGATGGGCTTTTCAAATTATAGTAATGAAATTCATAGTATTTATTTCCTACAATTTTTTGCAAGAATAACTGATAAATAAAGCCCATAAAATTTAATTTTGACTTTTGACCAAATTAAAATTACTCTCGGTGTAAAAACAAAATCCATGCCACACACACCCCATCTAATCTAATCTGCTGAGAAAGGTGGTCAGGCCCTTCTAAATGCTTAACCAAAAATAAGCAAAAAGTCATTGGAATTTTTGTATAAAATAAAGTAAAACTTGGAGCATTAAATTGAGGCCAGTGATTTCAGATGGATACTAAGAGTTGAAGAGAAGTAGGTCCAGATATTCCCAAAGCATAAATTTTTGCCTGGCAACTTTGGAGCAGTTAATTAGGTTAAGGATAGTTTTTCCTCAGCAACCTATTTCTTCAAAGGTTAGGCACACCATTGCTGTTATTAAAATACATGCACTGCTCATTCTCGACATAGCCTGGGCTTGGGTTTCTCTTTTGGTTTGGTTATTTTGTGTAGCAGTTTAATCTGTGGATGACTGAGCCTGTTTCCTCTTAGCTTTCTGGTCTTCTCAACAGAAAAAGCAGCTTGGGTTCAAAGCAGTATGTGACTCTGCAATATTTTCTAGCCTAGCTAGAAGTTGCAATAAAAATATTTTATGAAATATATGGTTTTCATCTGCAGTTGAAGGAAGTTGTAGAAAGTTTGCTGAAAGCAAAGGGCTAAGCTTGTGAAGGAATGCCTCCTTTGTTCCATACTCAGTAATTTGTTACACACAATTAATTGCAGCCATGGTACCTTTTTGCCCGATGTTTGGGGGTATTCGGTAGCCGGAATTCCTGCAAAAGGGTCCTTTAAGCAATTAATTTGTGCTTGCTTTTATCCCCTCTCAGAAAGGCATCATTAAAGGCCCATTTAAAAATCTGGCCCTAAAAGTTCAATTTTTGTAGTTTTACTGTTCAGAGAGGTTTAATCCTGTGTGGTAGTCTATAAAGTGATGTATGAGTTGAGTTATGTAAATTTTGTCATTGTAGTGTACATGGAGTGATCATTTTACTAACATAAATATTTTCTATGTGTGTTTCAGTGGATGACAATCGAGCAGCAGAAGAATGGTGTGCCTACCCTTTAATGCTGCAGTTTAAATAAGAGAACTTGTATTGTGTCATTTCAGATTGTAGGCTGAGACTTGTAAATAGTGAAAATTTGAGTACTTCTATTATTTGTTTTGGTTAGAAAGTGAATTTAAAAACAAACCAAACTCTAAACTTTCTCAGATTAAAAGTCCTGAGACCTGAAGATTGTAATATTCATGTCTGTGAAGCTTTTAAACATTACACGTGAGATCAGTCATGACTTGATATTCAGGTAAATTTTCTTTTCCAAGAAGCTTTTGAATAAGCATATTTCCTCCAAAGGTCGGTCGGTCTCTTTCTCTCTCTCTCTCTCTCTCTCTTTTTTTCCTTTTTGAGTGTAGATTATTTTAAAGCACTAATTGCATTACATTGGTAACTGCAATATAAAATAGCCATTATTGTTTTGTGAAGCATGGTTGAAATTAGATAGTGGTCCCTTTTAAATTTCATGAGCCTCTCAGAAAAAAATAAAAATCTTAAAAAAAATACAGAAAGCTGCTGAATATTTCAAAAGATATATATTTTACCTTATTGTAGGTTTTGTAAAGTTAGTTGGTAATATTCAGGTGCACTTTTAATGTTAAATTTTGTGTTCAGATTTCCATTATACCATGTATTTCTTGGAGGTGGCTCATCACATGGCTGGCTGTCAGTCTTGGTGCCGCAGTGATCTTTTAATATTTGATTTCTCTCTTGATTTGCCACTGTTCTGTATTGGCACTTTCAGTGTAGATATTCTAGTTTGGGGACGTCCTCATCAATGTGTAATAGAGATTGGTCTATTCGCATGCTTAATTTCTGCTGATCAGAGTTTTGCATGGCCCAAACAACAGTTGACCATTTTTATGGTATGGGAAAGTATAGTTCACAGCGGTCTTTGTCACAAAAGCCTTTTCTCCTATCATTTTCCAGTAGGCAGATGATGACATTACTCAAACTAATGTTAGGAGATAATGTATTGAAAATTCAATTCTTGAGTTTTTTATGAGAGAACATTGGTATTGTAGAGTAGATATACTATGGCACTATAAAATCAAAAATACTAAATAATCCTGTGGAAGGATATCTAGTTGGTATTTTTATCATTAGCTTTCTCATGTCTCAGACAGTAGAGTCATGAAGCTTGACAGAAATGTAATATATTATATTACTTTGTTCAGTAGGCTTTCAAGTGACTCTTGAACTATGTTTGTGATGAGCTATACACTTTTTTCTGCTCCCCAAATACCATGAAGGACTAGGTCTCTCTTTCAAGAAACATAATTTATATTTGTGTATAATACTTTTTAATATTAAGTTTGTTGTTACTCTGAAGTTTAGGTGTTGCTTGATAAACCTTTGCTGCAGCAGATCATGAATATGAGTAAGGCTTTGTGTGATGATAATAGGGGTCCTTATGTGAAGTAAATTACTGTTCAGTTCTGGTGAGCAAGCTCAACAAGTGTGAAGTGTGTATTAGCTTTACTTGGTACACTTTTACTTTACAATATTGAAGTGCTTTTAGAACTCTGGTTATCTTATATAAACCATTACCTCAACCAATTGGCATTTTCATTCCCCAACATTTTACCTGAGCTATAATATGAGCTATATGGGATCAGATAATAAAACAATAAGGCACAATGAGAAGTTAAGTTCCCAATTTTCTGGAGAGAACTCTATAAATTAGACTAAAAATGACTACCTGCAAAGGCCCATATCTTAACTACCTTCTGTCATTAGGCAGTACTTAGCAACCTTTGAGCTGCTAGTGAGCTATGTGTTCTCCCCCTGCTCAAATAAGCACATGGTGCAAGGCCTGGTTCTAAGACTTTGTGATTCTCTTACATTTCATTGACCCATATTAGTAAAGCTTGGATTCAGTTGGTTATTTTTATAAAAAAAATTAATGATTCTGTCCAATGTCAGAACCTGAAATTATTTTGAAGGGTTTTAACAGATAAACGACTGGTCAGTGTCATTTTCTTTAACAGCTGTTGTCCCCATAGATTTAATTTTGAGACAGACCATGTATTTTTGCTTTTGTAATAATTCTTTCTTTAAATGCTAGTTATATGAGCCACCCTTTTTCTATATATTCAGGTTGCTGTCATTGGTGATAGAATATGGCAATAGACTGAATTGCTCCACTTAATCTTTTATGGAAAACATTGAAAGTTATAGGTTGAATTTTGACCTTCATTGAAGATATCAAAGATTGTTTTCCTTGTTACCTTTACCTTTCTGTTGTAATTAGGTCTTTATTACTGTGGTCAGGCCAGTGCTATTAGAAACTTAATGGCTTTAGCCAAACGGCCCATTTAGGAGACTATTAAGCTATATAGGGGCTTAAAAAAAGTGATTGCTTTCAAACTCTACTGAAAAGGAAAGAAGTATAATTCTGGTACAAGGAATGCAGACCTGCAAAGTCTTAGTTTTCTTTGGATTCATTCTGTCCTTGAGACTTACAGGATTTGTGACATGGTGACTGAAGGGAAAATAGAGGAAATTCTCTGCCCATCCTCTGTCTCTCGTTCCCAGATAAACTCAAAGTTGCCTTTTGAAAAAGCAGACATTAGCCCTGTAGCTGTGTGCCCTAAATGTTATGAAGGAGATTGGGGGAGGGGGGTAAGGAGTAGGATGGGAAAGTATGTAGACTTGAGAAGAAGCTAAAGATTCTCTTCTACAGTACTAACAATGAGTCGCAGGATAGATAATGTAAAGTTGGGCCACCTTCATTTCATGATAGAGAAATCTTTTAGATGATTTGAAAATGAGAATCAAGACTAATTAATGTTGATTTGACAATAAAACATGAGTTAATTCTGCAACTATTTGGGGGGTAATTTTAAGGTTTCCAGTTCATTTAGAGCTGTGTCGATAAGCGCTGAAAAACAAGCACTTTTAGTTAATCATTGATTTATTGGATGTAGCAAATATTATAATCATAATATTTAATCTTTATAGTTTGAATATGGAAATGAACTCTTTACTCCATCTTGAACTGTCTTTGAACAGACTCAAGGTGATCTTTTCAACACTGGAAATGACCCTACACACATACCAAAAAAATCTAAAGCAGTAAGACGTATTTGAAGATCCATACCTCTTAGACTTTTTAGATTTGTCTTGGGAAAGAATTTATGAACCTATAACCAGTATTAGTGCAGTCTTGGGTTCCTTGTTCTGCATAATTGCACCCTTTCTCAGGTATGTCCTGAAAACATAAATTTTAAAATAATCTCTTTAGAGATTAGATTCTCAGTGGATAGTGTGTAAGGGGACTGGGGGAGGGGGGTGGGGGGTTGGCCACAGGACACTGACACAGTAGAGCAGGGATTTTTAACATTCAATAGCCAAATAGAATTTCAATCTAGAATATTTTTACCCCCTCAGAGTAAGTGAAACATCTATTATTTGGTAAATACCTGGTGCTACACTCCTAAAAGTCTTTTCTTTCATCCAGGTTAACTTTTTTTTCCTGCTTGGTGGAAGGGTATATAGTAAACTTTACTGTCACTAGGAAAGCACTTGTCCGAAATGTTTGAAGTACTAGAAAAGGGATAATTCAGCACTTTTTCTGTTACAACACTAAAGTCTTAATTTATCTTCAGAGTCTTAGGTACTGTAAGTTTTAGCGTGATTATTTAAAAATATAAAGCATAACTACACAATACGGGGTCAGATCACATTTATATAAATACTTCTTATTAAAAAAAAAAAGACAACAACATTCTGTTCCTTTCAAGCAATTCCAAATGATTGCCTCATATTTCTGGTTTCATTAAGCATTTCAGGCTTAAGAATTTGGAATTTGAGAGGAGGTGAGGGGAAGATTCCCCAAAATGAAAAATTGTGTCAGACCATTTTAGGAAAATGGGTAGGGATTCTCTCTCCCTTTAAGTCTTCAGGGAATGAGCAGTATTTAGAATCTTTGGCTGAAATTCAAGCCTTTTTACTGTGTAAATTTTTAATATTAATTCACTGACATGCTTTTTACATCAGAGGACTGAAAATGGATCTTAATGTTTTTAAGTTGTGGAAGGGTATATTTCTAAAATGAGGGGGGATAATTAACTAGGTTAGTATACCAGCATTAGTAAGTTTAAGGAATTTTAGTATGTAATAGCAAAGTGTTTGATTAAAAGTCTAATCCTATATTGCTAGTCGAAATTAGTTACATTCTGATCTAGGAAAGATAATAGTCATTGGATATTGATATGCTGTGCTGTCAGAAAACCAGACGAAGATAGAAACCTTTATCTGACTCCCACATGTTGCTTGTTCTGATGGGATATATACTTTACAGCAGCTTATTGCTGCTGCTTTGAGAAGAAATGTATAAACTATACATTTGGAGTGTTTTGCATATAATTCTTTATAACCTCCACTTTGAACTGTCAGACATTGGTATTTTATCAGTCCACATTGTTAAATAAAACTAATGTTCTTAGGAATCCAACTTGTACACACTGTTTAAAAACCCTCAGGGACAGTTTACACACTATTCTCACTCAATTCAGGTACTTTGATGCTATTCTTAAACCTAACAGTGACTTGTATTTTTCTGTTTTGCTTTTATTTCGACGTGCTGGTAGCACATCCTTGATGAATGTCAACTTAAAAACTCAGTTCAGGTATCCAGGTATAACTCAGCCAAACAGATTTTAAAGCTGCATATAACTCTCCAGCACACGGTGCCTCACACTCTTATAGTGGCATTCTATATATTCAGTTATTACTACTGAGCAGATAATATGGGGGTTCCTGTTAACAGTGTATTTAAAACAACAAAATGTGCATAAATGTATAGCCAGCACATCTGTAACACACACACAAACTATATTTTTAAATGCCACTAATAGCCAGCACAATTAAATGACATTCCTTGCTGCTTCTGTAAACTATAACAGATGCAGTTCCTCCTCGATGTGGCTCTTGCTTCTTCACCACACTACTACTAAATTCAAGCACTGGTCCTTGGGTGTCTGACCTCTACATTCTAGTTTATGCAATGTCTTTAGAGAATTCTGTGCACTGGCCACTGTGATGGAACCGTTGGGCCAGTAGTGCTCTGAGTTTATTAGTAGTGACTCTGCCAAAGTTGGTGTTGTAACATGAGTATGTAAATGTCAAAAAAATTAGCAGAGGTCTAGGTCTGGATATCAACAGACAATTTTGTCAGTATATTTTGTAGCCTTGAAGTCCTCAGTGACAAGTTTCTAATGATGTGAAGTTCTAATTCCAGTGTTTTAGTACTTTGCATCTTTAATGTTAAGACTTGTCTACTAGAGATCTTTATTCTTTAAGACTCCTTTTGTTTTCTACAGTACTATCTGTGGTTAACAAAATAGATTATTCCTCTGCTTTAATATTTGATATCTTACATTTAAAAGGAACTCTCCATATATAAAACCCATAGCCTTTGAAGATATGGAAAATGGCATCAGATTTCTAGAAGTTCGTGTCATGTAACAAAACAGGAACCCCCTTTACTCTTATGGACCTCATTTCAATATACTGTTTACAGTTTGACGGAATTGTATAATTTAATATTTCTCTTGTACTGTAGTTTATATTTATTTACAGATTTTTTTTTGTACTGTGTGATTTGAACTTTTTGTTCCTTGCTATGATCAATGTTTATGTAGTAGAGCACTTATGATCACAAATTAAGTTTTTTGGTTTGATTGCACTACATTAAATTTTTTAATGCAGTTCTGATTTTTGACTGGACTAAAATAAGCTGTGTCTTAATGTATGTGATGAGTACTTAAAACTTTAATCCATGTGGTCCCCTTTTTTTTGCATTGTATGTCAGAAGCGCTAGTTCTTTCGTGCATGTGTAAGATTTAATGGTTCCATTGTATTATTTGACCATGACATTTTGGAGAAACATTCCCAGCTGTAATGTTGTGTATGGTAGTTCTCACTGGATGCTAGACTTTTCAAAACCACTATTCTTCTAATAAATTTTGTTGTGAAAAGCTGTTTTAAACGCTTGGTTTCTACTTCTTAAGGTTTTAATATGTCTTTTAAAAATCGACAGAAGGGGTAAGATTTCCAAGTGTTCTGTAAATGTACTTGGTAAGAAGTTGGTAATTTTTTTTTTTTTAGAAGTTGGTAATTTTTTAATGGTAAATTCTTTCCGGATGATCTCTTAGATGACTAGAAGTTACTGTTTCAAAATTGTGTTTCAGTATTTGGGTGCCACACTGCCTAATAACTCTATGCCTTTATAGTTTGATACTCCCCTACCTCACAGGGATTATTCACTTGAAAAATTTGTTTCAGCTAGACAAGATACATATTTATATTTTTCATAATACCTGCTTGCTGGGCTTATGTAATTATTTTCTCAAAATCATAGCTTTGTCAGAGTAAACCATTATGCCTGAATTGCTTGCTAAAATGATGATTTACTAAGTATTGTTTGCTCTTTTCTTGAAGTACAAGTATGAAAGCAACATAGTTGAGGTTTTTATAGTATTCTGTATTCTACAGTATAGTATTCTGATTCTTGGGAAGATGCTGGCATTTCCTTTTAACTGGACAAAAAAGAACAATATATGTGTTGCTTTTTTTTGAGAAACGAGGTATATACAGAAGTATTATAAAGTGATTCCTGTTGTAGTGAGGGGAACATCTGAATTAGGGTGATAAAGATTAGAAATGGTATAGCAAAGTATTGGAGAAAGCTTTTTCAAGCTCATGAAATATGTGTAATTAATGTAGGTTGAAGGGGTTTCTGATCATTTCTAATGGCATTTTATACTAAAAAATGATGCTATTGTTGGTAGTTGCTCCAGATTATCTTTTAGTTAGTATTTTTGTCTTACTTCTTTGGCTGTCTCTCTGCTTTTTGGTCCGATGTTTATAAATTTGGAAATTTTGTTGGTACTGAAGGCTTGTCCGTTGGCTTCATTTGTTCCCTTTACTCAGTCATGCCACATTATTTATAGAACATTTTTCTGGAAACCTAATTACTACCTATTTGTAAATTTGAAAGCTTATAACTGCTTGTTTCTTGCCAATATCCATTCTAAACTGGTGACCAGATCAATATGGTAGGATTATAATCTGGCATCTCATAAATGAATTCATTTTAGTGATTTTGTTTATGAATTGATACTTAATTCTCCAGTTATTATAACTTTGTTTTTAAAAAGGACTTACTCCTTCTAATCCAGAATTTTCTTCTCTGATTCTCTTGATACTTTGGAATTAATTCAAGGACTCTTATGTCTTATCAAGGTGTTGCAATCAGGGAAATTGCATATGGGAAATGGAGTGGGAAAAATGGAAAATGGGATAGCTTTCTGCCACTTCCCGAGTTGTATAGTCATTTTTCCTCAAAAACTTTCTCTCACCAGATAGTTTTATCGAAATGTAAATACATTCTTATGTCATATGGTGCTAGATCTCATTGCCGAAAAGAGTGCAAAATCTTTTAACAGAATTTACTGAGTAATGCAGTAGATAGCTGTTCTCTTGTATTCTGAGTGTACACTTTGTCATAGCTGCTTCCAGTGGTGAGCATTTAGCAGAGGATTGTATTAATCTTGTTCAGCTTACAAGTTTTTGGACTTTTGCTATGTTTGGAGGAAATGGTAGTGTATCAAGCATCACTTACAATTGGAGTAGAAAGGCTTTTTTTCAGAGGTTAGTAGAAAAATGTTTTCAAAAAAAAAAAACATTATTTCAAAAGGTTGATCAGGGAATGCCTGGGCAGCTCAGTAGTGAGCGTCTGCTTTTGACTCGGTGTGATCCTGGAGTCCTGGGATTGAGTCCCACATCAGTCTCCCCAGGGGGAGCCTGCTTCTTACTGTATGTCTCTGCCTCTCTCATGAATAAATAAATAATTTTTTAAAACCTAAAAAGAAAAAATAAATAATAAAAGGTTGGTCAATGTGTATATAGTTAATAGTTTAAGCCATCATTTGGTTAGAATGCAACTTGGGAAGTAACCTGGGAAGTAAGCAAAAATACCTAAAAACTCATAAGTATTAAATCTGGAGTCTGAGGCTTTTTATAGTCATGTACAGATACTATTGTTTATTGACTAGTAGTTTTCAGATGGTAATGGTACTTTCACCAACCTTATTTGACCACCAATACAGAGTGATAAGGGATTATTTGGTACTTTAAATTTCTGTCAACTTGGTATTCTAACTAGAACACTCACTCATGTTTTCATCTGGGAAGTCATAGTGGTCACCTGAATGTTGTTGAGTAATAGACCTCTGAGTCTATTAAAAGTGCAAT